TTTAAAGTTACTTCATAGTATCACTAGAAAATAGTCACACCATTAACAAACTTTTAATCAAGTATAGTTTCATCATACATATAATCATGGATGGTTGATATTTTTAGACAACATGTGAAGTTTTTGATGTTTTTAATTTTTTATTGTTTTTTTTATCATAACTTCCTTTTAAAATACATGATAGAGATTTTTTTTATGACATTAGAAACTAGAAGAAACATTTTTTTCTACACATGAAATTCACACAAAAAATTATCAAATTAGTATATTATAGTCTTGGGATAAAAAAAGGACTTATATTGAGCACCTAAATCCAAAAATACTTAAAATTAAAATGAGAAGACATTAGATTTTTTTTAAATCATTTTCAATTAAATAAAGTATTTTGATTTATAATTTTTTTAAAATTTTAATTCATGGTATAACTAGAAAATAGTTACACAATTAATAATTTTTTAATCAAGTATAGTTTCATCATACATATTATCACCGATGGTTGATGTTTTTAGACAACGAAGTGTAGTTTTTAATGTTCTTAATTTTTTATTATCATAACTTCCTTTTAACACACAAGATAGAGATTTTATTTGTGACATTAGAAACTAGAAGAAATAATTTTCATACACATAAATTTCGTATAAAAAATTATCAAATCGGTGTAGTCTTGGGATAAAAAAGGACCTATGTTGAACACTTAAATCCTATCAAGCACCTAAATCCAAAAATACTTAAAATAAAAAATTAGAAGACATTAATTTTTTTATTTATTTTAAATCATTTTTAATTAAACAAAGCATTTTGATTTATAATTTTTTAAAATTTTTAATTCATAGTATCACTAGAAAACGATTACACACTTAAACAAGCTTTTAATCAAGCATAGTTTAATCATACATATAATTATGGATGATTGATGTTTTTAGATAACATATGTAGTTTTTGATGTTATTATTATTATTTTTTTTTACCGTAACTTCCTTTTAAAATACATGATAGAGATTCTATTTGTGACATTAGAAACTAGAAGAAATAATTAATTTTTTCTACACGTAAAATTATCAAATTAGTATAGTCTCGAAATAAAAAAAAACCTCTATCGAGTACCTTAATCCAAAAATACTTAAATTTTATGCATACAAATATTTATATTACTTTTGCACTTGGAACAATTCTCTCATCAATTGTAAAAGGAGTTTTAACAATCTTGATCCATTATAATTCTTAAATTCCACAACACACTCAAAACTCCTTTCACCCTATATAACCTTTTACAAAATAAAATCTAGCTAGTATATAGAAAAACCAACTATAAAGATTTTATTCTTGAAAATGAATTGGCTTTAGTTCCTTCTATCTCGCTCGTAGAAGAAATATAAAACACTTTGTGTTTCAACTCTCTAACAAATATATATTTTTCCTTCCAACTAGAGTAGTAAGCTATTTGCCATTTTTTTTCTCAAACATATTCCACATCTATGGACCCACTACTTTTTAACCCATAATATTAATGTTAGCCTTCTTTAACTTTTCACACACTTTAAGAAAAATATTAATTATAGTGTTTTAATTCTTATTTTTCTAAAATACTCTTTCAAACAATTATTGACTTTTTAGTCGATAAAAAATAAAAAATAAAAAATAGAAAAAAAGAATTAATTAGGTATATTTAAGAAAAATACAATATTTAAAATTTTGATCAAACAATTATTTTAGAGCGAGATATAAATAAAAAGATGGACAATCTTTTCAAGACAAGTGGAGTATGAGGTAATAAATAAGTTAGGTTTAAAGATGCACCGAGTCCTAAACTATTCGGACTTGAATTATAGTCACTCTTTTACAATAAGAATTTTGTCCTTAAAAACTTAGTATGCTTTACTTGGGTTCTTAAAGAAGATCATGGATATATTTCACCGATATCTATAAGAAGGTACATTTTCTTTGCTTTGTCGTAAGTTTATTTAGTCGTAAATTAGGTGGTTGCTCGCATTATGTTGTGAGTCATGCAGATTAAAATTATTTTAAAATTTTGTGTTCAATTATTATTTTTTAATGTTTTTCACAATTTTTCTACTTAAAAAACATGATTTATTGTTCTTTATGCATTGATTGTTAAATAAAAAAATTATAATAATTTAAACTCAAATACAATGAAGAATTCAAATTTTTTTTCATAAGATTATATCCAAAATATAAAGCTACAATTAACGTATAGACTAGTATAAAAATTAACAAATGAAAACAATAATTTTATTCTTATTTAATGATGATTGGAAGAATATTTTTTGAAAGTATATGTATTTGATTTATATATATTTATCTACAAAATAATCATTATGGTTGGAATAAGAAATTGTATTTGAATTACTAGGTGGTTCCTTTTAAAAAAATTATCTTAATTATTTTATTTTAAAGAAATTGACTCTACAATGTTAAAAAGAATATATATTCATAACAAATAATTGGTGTTATGTGTTAAGATGTATAGCTAATTTTTAATAAAATTGATGGTTCAAATGATTTTTTTTATACGTCACAATCATACTTACCGAATTCGGACAAACTATTTGAAATACACTTTTAACTTTTTATATTAAAATAATTATATATTTAAATGCATTCCACTATCATTTAAAAATTTTAAAAATTCACAATATATATTATATCAATTTATTTTTTAAAAAGAGAAAGCAATCATATTTTAATAAAATATAAAAGTAAAGAAAAATAAATTATATATTTTCAGTAAATAAAATTTATAAAAAAATTAATTGAATTAGAATTTTCATAAGAAATGTCAAATTTAAAGAATATATTTTAAATATTAAAATTTTATAATAAAAAAATTAATTGAATTAAAATTTTCATAAGAAATGAAAAATTTAAAGAATAAAATTTAAATAATAAGAGTAATATAATCATAAACATATGTTAATTTTAAAATATAAAAAGATATTATATATAATGTATCATCACCATATTGCGTAAAAAACACAAATAATCATGCTCGATGTTCCATAATTTTATCTTAAAAATTATCAATTAAAAAAATTAAAGAAAAAAAAAGCACCGAGCTCGCATAGGCTAGGATTAGAAAAAAAAAAAGTTTTTTTTTCTCATCTTCGACTAACTTCGCCATTTTCAGCGAATTCAATTTCGTCGAAAAATAAATGAAAAGTCGGATTCCTTAATTTTTGACACCCCAAAACCAAATCCAGCCCTTTTTTGTAAAAAAAATCATAAAAATAACATAAAAAAGCTGTTTAAAATATCAAAATTTATTTTAATACATACAAAATACAAATAATTCAAATCAAAATAAAAAACTCAAAAGATTTTCGAATCCCGATATAACTTCTCCAATCATTTCATAGTTTATGACTGACATAAATAGATTTTACTTTTTGAGACGAATAAAATAATGACGATTGCGATTAATCGAGATAGCCATAATGGGTCTCACCGTCTCTCTCCGTTTCTCTCTCCTTCAAGCGATTAAGGATGAAAATCCAAGCACAAATGAAGTTCGAGTTCGAAACAATTTGTTTTGAAAATATAAGGGATCGAAATGAAATTTTTTGGCAAGCTTGGTCACAAATAGTGAAAATAAATAATACAAACGAGTGTGGGTGAATAATGCGAATGAGTGTGCGTGAACAATGAAAAAATAATAAACAATCCATGTGTTTTAGTATTTTTGTAAATAATTTTAAATAATTCAATAAACAGAATTAATTCAAAAATATCAGGCAAAGCACAAATATTTCAAAATCATTTTTTATAATACGATAATGAATATCCCTTAAATATGTTCTAAAATTAATAAAAAAGATAAGATTTTACTTTAAATAACCATATAAAATTATTTTATTAATTAATACAATTTCAAATTATGCTAGCTATGCAAAATCCTCTCTCTATTAAAAAATATTTTATTTTTGTTAAATATGTGTCAAATTATTCATATATAGTTTAGGACCATTTTAAATATTTTAAAATTTAAGAAACCAAACAAAACATTATTTATGATATAAGGGCCAAAATAAAGAAAATAAAAAATAGCTTTAACCAAACTTACAGCGTATTTCGAGGAAAAGAAATAATGGTGCAACATAAAAAATGTGGAGCATTAATTGGGTTGTCCACGTAAGGAGCAAATGACCAAAAAAGAAGAAAAAAGGAGAAAAAAGGAAAGAAAGAAAGGGCAAAAATGTAACTGGATAACACCACTAAGTGGCATAATAGCAATTAAACAAAGAATATAGGGGTTTTAAATTGACAATGGAAAAAGAAAAAGAAATAGCCGAGAAATGGGCGAAACAGATCAAATAAAAGAAAAAATAAGAATTGAGAAGAGCAAATAGTGTGTTTGAGTCACAGTCCACAATGATTTTAGGCGTTGCTCCACGGTAAATGAGTACCATAAGGGGTTTAAATTGACAATTGAGAAATAAAAAAATAGCTGAGAAATGGGCAAACAGATCAAATAAAAGAAAAAATGAACGGCTGAAAGGAATTGAGAAAAGCTAACAGTGTGTCTGAGTCACAGTTCACAGTGGCTTTGGGTGTTGTTATACAGTAAATGAATAATAAACTATGCAGATCTTTTAGTTTTTTTTTTTAATTATTTCAAAAATGGTGTAAGAAAATAAAAAAAATCCCCCTGGAACCTAAACCTTTCTCAAGGAGGGGGAAAAAAAAACGAAGATGTTTGTAGAAATCGAAAAAAACACGTGGTCTTTTATCAGCAAAATTTCCGAAAAATAGAAAAAGAATCTGGGTCCTGAGTCCCGACCCAAATACAATTCCCAGCTGATGGGCCTGGCTGCCTTCACAGTTCACCCACTCACGCGCGGGCACTCCTTTGACAATTTCTCCACTCTACTCTTCATTTTTTGCTAATGACTCAATGTGACTCCGTCATTCCTCTCTCTTCCCGTTACTGCTCAGACCTCCAACCTTTCTTCTTCTTCCAAAACATGAAATGAAGTGAAAATAAAATGGAGCAAAGCCAGAGATCAATAGCAGCACCAACAACTACAACATCGGCTGGAGCAGCCTCCTCACGCGGCTACCAACTCCACCCAGCTCGAGCTGCCATTATCGATCTCTTCAATCTCTACTTAGGCGTAAATCATTTCTTTCGTTCCTATTCTCAGTTTTCTCAAAAAAACGGATAAGATTCTGTCTTTGATTCTTTTTAATTTCGTTTCGCAGCGAAGCAGCCGCCAAAAACCTGATGATTCAATTCGCGACCCACCGTGAGTTTTAAATTCTCGTTTCCTTTGAGGATTATTCTCTTATTATTATTTATTTATCAATTTTTTTTTACATTTTTTTAGGAACAAGACCCAAAAGCGTGTTCTTGCTCTTAATAGAGAACTTCCTCCTCCGAATGAGCAATTCCTTTTAGATTTCGAGCAACTTCATACTCAATTTCAGGTAAAAATTCATGCTTTACAGTCAAAATACTTTTTTTTTAATTCTATTTATCTTGTAAAAAACTTGTATTTTGATAATTTGATGTATGCTTGCATGCCTCAGGATCAAGAGCAATTGCGTGCCGTTACAGAATCTGTACTTATAACTCTGGTTCTGCAATGTAGTAATCACGCCCCGCGTGCGGAATTTCTCCTATTTGCTTTACGGAGTTTATGTAGTATAGAATACATTAACTGGGATAGTTTCTTGCCGACTCTTCTTTCTTCTGTATCCACAACTGAATTGTCGGTCGGCCAGGCAGGTCAAGCAGTGGCAGCTGTTTCATCCACAAGTTTATCCCAGAATGGGATGCTTCCTTCTTCAAGCACAATCTCCAACTCTTCAAATTTTCAGTCTTTGAATCCTACATCCCCGTTACCTTCTGTTCATGGTATTGGCTCTCCAGCTCCATCGCTGATGGAAGCTTCACCTTCCGTAGCTATGTCTCCAGTTAAATCATCTGATATTTCTGGTAATGGGCCACAATCGTCAGCAAGGGTCAATTTATTGATAAGGGATAGTGCCATGAGCAGTCTCCGCCAGCTATGTTGCAAGATTATTTTAACTGGTCTCGAGTTTAATTTGAAGCCAGTGACTCATGCTGATATTTTCAACCATATGTTGAACTGGCTGGTTAACTGGGATCAAAGACAACATGGTGTTGATGAATCTGATGGTGTGAAATCCTGGAGACCTGACAAGGCTCTGATTGAATGGCTGCACAGTTGTTTGGATGTGATTTGGCTGCTAGTGGATGAGGATAAATGCCGAGTGCCCTTCTATGAATTATTGCGCAGTGGGTTGCAGTTTATAGAGAACATTCCTGATGATGAAGCCTTATTTACACTTATCTTGGAGATTCATCGGAGGCGAGATATGATGGCCATGCACATGCAAATGTTGGATCAACACCTTCACTGCCCCACATTTGGTACTCATAGGGTTTTGTCTCCTACGATTCCAAATGTTTCAGTTGAAGCTGTAGCTAACTTGCGGTATTCACCAATCACATATCCAAGTGTGCTTGGAGAACCTTTGCATGGAGAGGTGATGGATTTTTCTAAAAACTCATTTGGAGAAATGGAAAAACTATGCCTCATTCTAGTAAACTAGTATGGTTCTGGTTTATACTATCCTTGAATAGCATCCTTTTGACGGCGGGCTCTGTTGTCACTGGGCCCCTCAAATACCGTCACTGGCGATGGCAGTCAGCTGGTGGTACCAGCTTATATCATTACAACTGTTTGCAAAAGTGAATTTCTAATTGGACAATAAGAACTCTTTTTTTCTTATGCCTGATAAAATCCTTCAAACTATTCATAACCCAAAATTGGTTGAAGTTTTAATGGAAGTATATTATAGATGATTGACTGTTGAAATTATCATAGAAGGGATCCTCTTTGACTTTTTTCATCCATTGAACTAAGACATTATAGGTATGCATCTTCCCAGCATGATTTAGAAGTGGTGACATCTTTCAATTCTGAAGGGAGCAATGCTATATATATACAAACAAATCATACAAAATTTTCATACAAGCTGATGTGGGTATTGCTCTTTTCATCCTCAACCGGCCTTTTAATAATTGTGAGACCCACAATTCTCTATTTATCACTTGCCACATCTGTTTGTATTGAGTATCGGTATGAGTATTTTTTATGCATCGTAAATGAATTTAGTTTTGACCTTCAGAGATTGTCTTATTGGACTATTCTATACTTATTGTACTTGGAGGCCAACACTAGTAAGTATTTTCAGTTGGGGACATATAGACAGTGATGTTCAACATTTTCTAGTTCATTTCTGTATATTTGGATTAAATTAAAAGCACTTTAAGAAGAGATTATGGAAGTAGATGTGTTGATATGTGAGGATATGATGCACCAAAGATTAATAAATGAGTACTTTTGGAAACAAGGAATGGCGAATGTTATAACAGTGATGCTGTGCTGTGCCATAATAAGAATATGGGATCAAAGTAATTATGTGATCAGGTCACTTTTGAGTCATAAATGATGATTACTCCTGATTTTGTTGCCAATGTATGACTATCAGTGAAGTTGAACTGCCAATGTATCAAATGAAATTACATCCGGAAAGATTGGAATGATATTTCTCTTATGTCTGAAAATGTAATGCTGTTAAGTAAAAAAAATTGTATCTGCAATTAGGTAATTTTGTGTTTGTCAAAGACAAACAACATGCATGTATCTACTACTTGTGGTCAAATTGTTTTCTTTTTACCGTATAGGATCTTGCAAATTCTATTCAGAGGGGAAGTTTGGACTGGGAAAGAGCTTTGCGTTGTATAAGACATGCTCTTCGTACTACTCCATCACCTGACTGGTGGAAGCGTGTGCTCGTTGTGGCTCCTTGCTATAGGAATCCTGCTCATGGGCCTACACCTGGTGCTGTTTTCACTTCTAGTATGATTTGTGAGGCAACTATTGATAGAATTGTGGAACTGTTGAAGCTGACAAATTCAGGCAATTATTTCTTCCTTTGGTTTTTGCACTTTCTTCTATTCTTATATAATGCACTCAAGGATCGCTTACTCTTCATGATGTTTCTTCATCGACTGCCTGGTAGGATTGTTCAAGTGTTAAATTGCATATTTTTCATGCTATCAGACTTGTGTTTATTCCTGCAAATGTTTAAATCATTGAAATATAATTTTCATCAGCAGAGTTGAAAATGTAATAGCACTAATATGAAGCAGTAATGATGTTTGAGAAGCTTGGTGGACATGTTTGTCATATCAGCCTCACTGCATGAAGTTGCTGATGTAATTTATGTGTTTAGTGTGTCTGGTTTAAAGATTGATTATAGAAAATTTCTAAATGCTTCGTTTTGTGGGATGATTCTTACAATTTTTTTTTCTATTTGCAGAAATAAATTGTTGGCAGGAGTGGCTTGTGTTCTCTGATATATTCTACTTTCTTGTGAAAAGTGGGTGCATTGATTTTATTGATTTTGTGGACAAACTGGTTTCAAGGCTAATAGAGGGTGATCAGCATATTGTTCGAACGAATCATGTTACTTGGCTGTTTGCACAAATTATTCGGATTGAGCTTGTGATGAATGCATTAAACACAGATGCTAGAAAGGTTGTTTTTATTGTAAAATTCATTGCCTTTATACTTCCCAGTGTAGTTTTGCATCTTCCTCACGGTCATAAAATATCCCAACATTATTGTATTCCTTCTCCCATGCATTTAAATTAGTTTCATTCATCCTTGTTGAAATTTGATTGGCCTTAATTTGTAGCAGACCTATAGGGGGTTCATGCGTAGGATTGTGGTTTAGTCATGAAGTTTTTGGTGCTTGATTTTCAACCTGTCACACTCAATCTTGGGCATTGCAATTTTGCTGGCAGGTAGAGACAACTCGAAAGGTTTTATCATTTCATAGGGAAGATCGAAGCTCTGATCCTAATAATCCTCAAAGCATCCTGCTTGATTATATAAGCAGTTGCCAAAACCTACGTATTTGGTCATTGAACACAACAACAAGGGAATGTTTAAATAGTGAACAGCTTCTGAAAGGAAAGCAAATAGATGAATGGTGGAGGCAAGCAAGCAAAGGTAAATTTACCCCGAATACAAAAAGATGAAAGAAAAAGAGAGTTGGTAAATCTCTTCCAATGGTGATTGCCAATTTGAACTGGTTTGATAATGCTGATATTGCTGGTGATTAGTTTTAGAAAACTGCTTTAATGTGCAACACATTTTTGCTTCTATCAGTTTTTCTACTTTACATTTTAAGGTAAATGCATGTTTTTATGATTACAATATATTGACTTTTGAAAACTGCTTGAATGTGCAGCACATTGTCTGGATATGTGCTATCACATACATGTGCATGTTTTGTGCTTATTTTTGTTCATACTCTTCCAACAAAAACAGTAGGTGCTTCCAACAGGAGGAAAAGGATCTGTCCTTTCTTGATTTATTAGTTTTCTTTTTTCACATCGTCATGCTTCTCATGGAATGCATACTTTTTAACACATGATTTTTACTGAAAAATGCAGCTAAGTTGGCACTAATTAAGTCTAAAACAAATCGTCAGACTCTTTGAGAACTTCCAATATTGTAACTGTGTTATTTAAATTAATACTGACTGTGGAGTTAGGTGTGATCCTAAAAGCAATGAGATGTATGCCTTATTATTTTTATTTTTTTATATTTAAAATTCTGCTGTTAAATGTGGAAGAAGGTTGAAAAGATTAAAAACCCTGCAAAATTAGGTTAAGTATCATTAACTGCTCCAGCTATAATAATTTAGGAATAGTTAGATTCGTCATCTTCTTCTGCCATATCAGTTGGATGCTTGATGTTGTTAATCTAACATGCACCATTTGGTCCCTCGTCTACCTAGCAGTCATAGTAAGTTTAATTCCTTAAAGATTGCCTGATAAACTGTTCATAGAAAAGCCTAATGTGTACTCTATAATAGAAGTGTTATGAGGGGACCCATTTGGTGAAATCTTACACTCAAAATTTCATCTGATTACAATGTTGTTTCATCTCAACATGTAACCAAAACAAAGGGCTTGAGACTGGAGAGTCAAACCACTTGGAGTCCTCCAAACAGTAATGCAATTTGATGCTGCAAAAGGGATGGGTTGTGTACTTTGAGGAGATAGTATAACACAAGGTAGTAGCATTCATAATCAGCTACCAGTAAGATTAAAGATGAAACAAAAGAACATGGAGATATATTTGTTGCTCCCAACTGATGATAACTAAGAAATGCAACTAAATTTCCCAAAAAGAAAAAAAGTGTTCAACTCCAACCTAAACAGTCTTTGAAACGAGGTGACTCACCAAATGAAATTTTTTTTTCTTTATTTTTTCATTCATTGGTTGCTTGGGGAAGTGGTTTCATATATAGCTAGATGCTTAATAATTTGTGGAGTGTGGAGTTAAAAGGACTACGAAATTCAGTTAATCCGTTTGAAAAAAAAAGAGGAGGAGAAAGAAAGATGATCCTGATAAACTATACCTTGCACTATTAAATCGTTTTTCTTTTTATGTTTTAGGATTTTAGGGTTTAGAATTTAGTGTTTACTTGATACTGCCCTGAAACCGTATTATGATCTAGAAAGTCTATAATAAAAACCTGGAGATGTGGTGTTCCTAGTGATGTAAATGTACCTTAAGAACCAAAGAATGATAATATGTATAGCAGGGTAAAGAATCAGTGCGTAAGTTTGGAGAATTAATGGGAGGGTGATGTTGTTCTTGAATCATTGCAACATGAGTTTGGAAGAAGATCCTTTGCTTTTCCTGAGATGCAGAGAAAAGAAAGAAGGTTGCAACAGAAGTTTATGGTGCAATAAGGGTGAGCTCACGAGTAAGCATGCACACAAAAAGCCTCCTTTATGAGAGCTTTCTCGAATCTAAAATTAGATTACAAATTGAATTTCATTCCAGTGTACAATTAAATTTTATGGCGCAATACTTGAAAATCAACAACAAAAAATAACCTGCAGTAACCTATGGGATTGTTTCCTGTTGACATATATGGTAGCATGCATTGGCAGATACTGAGAGAATCATGTGCCTTCCCAGACAAGTATCCTTAAAAGTTTTGTTTTCTTTGGCTGTTACTTTCTGGATTGAATCCAATGACGTCTGAGATTCGTCTTTCAGATGGTATTTCTGAATGTGAGAATGGTTTCATAAAGACTTGTTAACCATTGTGTGCACTCAAGGATTCTCCGTGTTATATTCTTGTGATATTGTTTAAATTTGTTTTTGACTTTCCATTTCAGGGGATCGGATGTTGGATTACATGAATATGGATGACAGATCAATTGGAATGTTTTGGGTTGTGTCCTACACCATGGCTCAGCCAGCTTCTGAAACAGTGGTGAACTGGTTGTCCTCAGCTGGAGTTTCTGAATTGTTAACTGGAACAAATATGCAGTCTAATGAGAGATTAACGGTGATGAGGGAAGTAAGCCCTTTGCCTATGTCACTATTATCTGGACTTTCCATGAACCTGTGTTTAAAGTTGGTGTTTCAAATGGAAGATTCTTTATTTGCCGGGCAGGTAATGCTTTTAGTGCTTGCTTATGCTGTAGTTGGCAACTTGTTTATGGACTATCAGATATCTGACAGTCAAAACATTTCGTTTAATGTCATTTAATTTTTGGTGCAGGTTGTTCCCAACATTGCAATGGTTGAAACATATTGTCGCTTGCTGCTCATTGCACCTCACTCACTGTTTCGTTCACACTTCAGTGTATTTCTCTTTACCCTTGCTTCTGGAAGTATACTTTTTCTTGCAGATAAATTGGTTGTGGAAAATTACTACAACCTCTCCTAATCACAACCAAATAATCTGCAAGCCTGTTTGGTGATGCCCATTTAGATATCAGCATGGAATCACTGTTGGTCACAACTGCTCATTTATATTCTTTTCCCCAGCAGCCTTAGCTATGAATGATAGGTGGTTAAATCCCTTGAAATTTTTCAGGGGTAAAGTTTATGTGTTCAGTGCATGAAGTGAATTAAGAGTAATATTTATCCCAAAAGTGGGGTAAATTGGGTGTAAATATCACCTCCAAGAGAAAAGCTTATATATTTTGTACATTTTTTCTCTTATCGAATTATAGCCCAGACATTCTCTCTTTTACTTGCACCTAGTTGTTGGAACCCAGTAATACATATGGTTATTAATTTATGGAATGTCTACTGCACTTGAGTTTTTGAATTTCTACAAACATGTTTGAAAATAGCTTTTTTACAGTTTTGCACCCTTAATGATTTCTCGTGTAATAATTACTCTCATAATTCATCTTCAATTTTAACCTTTTATCAAACACACCCTTAGAAAGATTAAAAAATTGTCCGGTACTTGTGTGCATGCTACAATTTCAAGTCAACTGCTTGTGAATGCTTAATAAAATGGCTAGATGAACACATTAACTATTTTCATGTAAAGCTTTCAATGCTATTAAACTAATGTTAGAGCATACCTTAAGACTGACCAAAGGATCTTTAAATGTTCATGGATGCTGAACCTTTGTGATGCTCTCTGTGCCCAAGATAATTGTTTTGCCTTCTTTCACCTGTCAATTTTTTGAGGTAATGTAATTTTAACGCAAGGATGATGTACATTATAATTTCTTTTTGAAGCATTTGGCACAGAGGTATCAATCAATATTGAGCAAGCCTGGGGTGACTCTTTTGGTACTAGAAATAGTGAACTATCGCTTGCTTCCACTTTACAGGTAACATCTGCCAACTCCTTCCTGTGAAGCTATTCTTTTTCCTTGAAACCAGTGATAATTTTGCTCAATGTATTGAAATTGATGAGGTCTGCATCCAGATATTCTATTCAGAATCTTTTTAATCGTGGACAACCTTTACCTCCAGGAATTTTGTCTTTTCTTTGTTTCCCAAATATATGCTACATCTTGTTTGTCTGTTTGTTTGTATAATGTAGATAATGTTTTAGAGTTTATAGCTATTGTTTGGGTTATTGGGCCTTCAGATTATGTAAATAATAATTTCAAGATTTTTTTCTTCCATGAAAAAAACTGCAAATCATACTTGTTTGTTACTTGTTCCTTATTTGTAGGTATCAAGGGAAAAGCAAAACCTTGATGTATGATGTTACAAAAATAGTTTCTACATTAAAAGGGAAACGAGGAGATCATCGTGTATTTAGGTTGGCTGAAAACTTGTGCATGAACCTCATTTTATCACAGAGAGATTTTTTCTCAGTGAAGAGAGAAGGGAAGGTAAAAGACTATTATTTTTAAACCGACGATTTTCTGTTGTAACTTGTGTTCCTTTTTCCTTTTCTTCTTCTTCTTCTTCTTCCTTTTTTTTTTTTTTTAGCAGCTGAAAAAATCTAAGATTTGTTATTTTTTTTCTTGGTTTTGCAGGGGCCCACTGAATTTACTGAAACTTTGAATCGTGTAACTATAGTCAGTCTTGCCATCATCATAAAAACTCGTGGAATTGCTGATGCTGATCACATGCTTTATCTTCAAACTATTTTAGAACCGATATTGGCAACCAGCCAACACACATGGTCAAAAAAAACATTAAGCTACTTCCCTCCTCTACTTCGTGATGCTTTGATTGGAAGAATAGATAAAAGGGGTTTGACTATTCAAGCTTGGCAACAGGTCCGTTTTTGCAATTCATTTTTTTAATGCTTTCATTATGTTTGTTATTTCATTTTTTGCTGATTGGTATCCTTTGTTGCGGATGAAAGTCTAGAATCAGATAAGTGGATGGATCCATTGATCTAGTGGGATGCAAGTCTAAGATTTGTCTGGTACATTTGAATGGATTGCTATCTATGTGCCGCTCAAGACTTGAAAATGGATCAAGGTTCCTCACTGTCTAAAATTAAATCCAACACTTGGGTGGATTTAGGAGTGGGGTATAATTTGCTATGTGCAGTTTAATTTATCTTCTTCACTCAAATAGTGGAGCAGATAAATATACTGGGAAAGTTAACTTGATTTGAGAATGGATCCTTTTATAAGGAGGTATTATATTTAAAAGAAGCACCTTTCTAGCAGTCTGGTTTAGTTAAAAAGGTTTAAGGATTCTCATTCAAAGGTGATGGCGGATGTTCTACATGCATGGATATTTTTGTGCTTTTCAGATTTAGTCATAGTTAGCAGATTTCAACAATGAAATTAGTTAATCCTGTTGAGATTTAATATTATTTATTTTCTTTTAACCATTAAGATGCCTTATTAGGTTTGGGAATTAATTTCATTTTTTTGATTGGATGAAGATTTATCTTATTTTGTTGGGATTTCAATTTGCTTCTATTTAAGCTAGTCTTTTACCATAAAGCAACAAAGAGAGACTGTTGCAATGAAGTTTATTTGCACGTGTACTTTTCTCTAGCATTGAGAATCCAATAAAACTCTACATGAGATTCACATAAAGCTTAATATGATTATCTTAAGCTTTCATAGAATGAAGGGAAGGAAAAGGCTTTTTTTTTTTTTTTTTTTTTTTTTTTGGGTCGATTGGGAGGGCCTATTAGGCTTTGGACAGGGCGTACTTGAGTAGCCTCCCCTTTCCCTTAAATATCCACCTTCCATTGCAGGAGAACACGAGAGCTTCAAGTTAGAAGTACAAAGTTTTAACTTGCAAGTTTGTAGTAGTCTTAATTGGGGAGTTTAACTATGAAATGATTTTAGATTTGACTATTTCCATGAATGTTGTTCAGATTGCTTGGGAATTCTGTCAATTTTAAATTTCCCACTGTTTTTGCAGGCTGAAACAACAGTGATTAACCAATGTACCCAGCTGCTCTCTCCGTCAGCTGATCCTCCTTATGTTATGACATATATCAATCATAGTTTCCCCCAACACCGACAATATCTATGTGCTGGTGCATGGATACTGATGCAGGGACACCCTGAAAACATTAATAGTGGAAATCTGGTATTGACTATACATTCTATTAGTCTTTTTGTTGGGAAAACATCATTAGCACAAGTGATTTTTCCTATAACAATCATCATTTCTTGACAGCTTTATCTTTTTGAGATTTCTTTTAAAAGACCCTGACTTATTATGTGTGTGGATGGATTTCAGGCACGTGTTTTGAGGGAAATTTCCCCTGAAGAAGTGACAGCGAATATATACACAATGGTGGATGTTCTGCTTCATCACATTCACGTGGAACTTCAGCATGGGCATTCCTTACAGGTTTATATCTTCTGCCCTCATAGTTCTTGCAAATTCTACTCACTAATATCTCTTATTTGTTGTGCTAGTTCATGTAGTGCCTGTTTGTATCCTTTGTTTTTATCAGGACCTTTTATTGAAAACTTGTGCAAACTTGGCCTTCTTTGTTTGGACTCATGAGTTGCTCCCATTGGATATTTTGCTTCTGGCACTTACTGACCGTGATGATGATCCCCATGCTTTGCATATTGTGGTATGCTCTTCCGTACAATTTGTCTTGAGTATGCATATTTCTTAATCTCTGTGCTTTTGTGTGTCTGTGTATGTCATGCATGCACATTTATCAAATATGACGTAATCGCTGTAGTGTTTGAAGGATGATAAGTATAGCAATCACTGTTGCTCTTGTCAACAAAGGATCTGATCTTTATCTGGGGAAATAAGACTTGGGGTAATTATGATTTTGTGGTTTGAGTTGGTGGGGAAAAGTCTCAGGACAGATATGGAGTTGCAAGATTGAAGACTTGTAAGAAGGAAAAATAATTTTCTAGTCAGAAACCACATCAAGTTTTTAAGGCTTCAATATGAGAGTTTCACTACGAGAATGGCTTTGGTATACTGCATATTGGTTTATGGAGACAAAATCCCTTGAGGATTCTAATGGTAGAATTATACATCCAACTTCTTCTCTGACAATATTTATTCTGGTTTTTATGCAAATCAGCAGCCATTTACATAAACTTACGAGTAGTATATATCAGAAGAATGAGACTCGTTCACTTTTGTGCCCTGTGATGTAGAAAAATCCTTCAAGGGCTTTTATTTTAAAGCCAAATGCCTGTTGTGCCATTAGCTTGGCACTTATTACTAACATGTTAAGGCTGCTAGGTCTTCAGTAGCACAGTTTCCTTGAAGGCAACTTTTGGCACTTAAACATAGCTTCTCATGCATAACCAAGCAATGGGACTGCCAATATTTGGTGGGAGTTTATTTGATTTGATCTATGTATTTGTTTAGATATTGCATATTCAAGCATAATTTTGATGTTCATTGTTCTTGTGCTAAATTGCACAATAATGCAAGTTGCAGATTAGCTTGCTTGATAGGCAGGAACTTCAATCAAGAGTGAAACTATTTTGTATGAATCGTGGGCCTCCTGAGCATTGGATTTACTCAGGACTGTTCAAACGACTCGAATTGCCAAAGGCACTTGGAAATCATCTATCATGGAAGGACAGGTAAAGTCTTTTAGATTATGTGTTTCCAATTGGAATTTTATATTGTTATATGAAATTATAAGACTCATGGTAATTTAGAGCATTGGTGGTCAAATGATGTCTCTAGCAATCTAGGAAGCACAGATACTCCAAAATGCCTTACGTATATGTGTCACACTCTATTATATATGGATATGCACCTGATACAGCATGATATGTATCGCATACGGGGTATAAGACAAAAACAATAAAAAGATAATTCAATTTGATGCGTTTTGGATTAAGCAGGATATGTGAGGATACATGAGTGGATATGGCTGAGATGCTTTTAAGGTTAAATTTTTAATTTTATTGAAACAAATAGGTCTAAATGAATTTTTTTTTTAACTCAAACATTTAAGTAGAAATACCATTATTTTTTTTTTCTGATATACATGTTAATTAATGCATATAACATGGTCTATAAATAGTCATATTATGATGCGACGGTCATTTAAATAAAAAAGTGATTATTATCCTTGCTTTCTTTTTGTTATTTTTGTAAGAATAAGCTTTGATTAATCATTTCAAACATTTTTTGAAAAACAATTTTTATTATAATATATTGAGTTAAAATGGAGATGAGTAGCAATAATCAAATTCGAAAGAGAAAAATGAAGATTTTTATTGAACTTTGTGTAATCATAATAATAATTAGCTTCTTCTTCTTCTTTCAATAGCTTAACATAGTTCTACAGTTCATTTATTTATTTCTATGATTTGATATACTTTTAGGTATTATTTTTCTTTATTGTAAAATTCATTTTTTTTGCTTAAGATAACATAAATAATTAAAATTAAAGATTTCTAGTTGCTATTGCCTGGTTTCTGATGAATACTTTTGAAGTATCAATTTTGTGTTGATTGTTCCCAAAAGCTTCAGTGGGAAATGGGTATCCCTGGTTTTCAATTTAAAGCAGCCATTTACTTGTTCATGTCAATGGAAAAGATGGATGTTAGACATTTGCTGAGTAGAGCAATTGTTGATGCTTAAGTGCTCAAAACCAGCAAACCGTTATTTCATGTGATTGAAAGCATGCTACTATGGATCAGCAGTAATAAATCAAAGCTGTTGCTGTGCCAGGACAATCTAAAAGCCTGAAGGCAAATTGCATTTTGTGACTGTCAATGCAATTTTTTGCATAATACTGGGCAGTGGCTTCTGCATTTCAACCTTGATAACAAAGTTATTGTGCGAAAAAATGGCAACGCCTCATTTATCCCTGTCACGATTGGGTTAGTTCCAGAATCCAAATGGAAATGAAGCAGGCACTGATTTTTTTCCCTAGAAAAGGAAGATTAAATTAGAGACATAAGATCTACTTATAAAGAAGGGCATGTGAGACATCCTCCAACTAGCAAAAAGCACGCTAAAAAATAAGGCAAAATGAACTAGAGAAGCAATGCTAAGAACCAAATCTTGTCTGCTAAAGAGGTACCACTAAAGACACCAATAGCCTTTGGTGTTATCCTGGAGTGAAGGATCAAAGACATGCTAAGAATACAATCTTGTCTCAAATCAGGAGGGAGGACAGTGTTATCCTGGAAGATTCTGGAGTCATGCTCACCCCATATGGTATCAGATTATAGCCAACAAGGATTGCAGGACACTTTACACACATTGGAAGCTCCACAGCTCTCGAACTGACTGAGAACACCTCCTCCAAGGAGTCTAACCAACACACGCCTCCCAGAAGATAAAAAAAATCCCCTAGACCGAAGCTTCCGGAGTCACGGAACAATGGAAGAAGTGGCACTCTTACATTTTACTTCTATCATACATGCTTCTGAAGACAACTTTATACATCTTCCCATATGCATCAGATGATTTGTGTTGATATTTTCAAGGTCTGTGGCCCAGGAAAAGGCCTTAACCTTAGAGTTAACTAAGCCTTCTGGATAAAATTAGCTAAAGAATAGCAAAGGGAGGTAGGAGAGTTAGGCTGGCAGGAAAGAATATGTGGGAAAAGATTCTGGATAACACCAAGTAACTAATCTTCTTGTCTCAAAGAAGTGAACTGATTCAAGGAGCAGAATAAGAGAGGCTAATCATCTGGTTTGCTATCTTTAAGATCCCAAAAGAAGTGACAGTGTCAAGAAAGCTTATCCATCTTGGTAGTGCAAAAAATGAAATTTGTGTATCATGAAGGCAAGGAAGAGACAACAAATTAGGGAATCCAAAGGATTATAATGATTTACCGATGAAAATTTTGCACCAAATTTAGTCGCATTATATCAACAATTGTGGACTTATGGTTTAGTGAGTAACATGCTTATCAATTGTTTCTTCAATGCTAAAGCTTATGCTAGAAGAACGGTCCTTCCTCAAAATAAAACCATCTATTCTTAGAAGTTATGCTCGTTAAAAGAAATATTTTCTATTTCAAATTTGTAAGAAATTGGATTCAAAGAGATCCTCTGGATTTATATTTATGACTTTCCTTGGCCAGCTAATAAATAGAATTAGCAACTGAGCCAGCCTTAGAAGCTAACTTCTGAACCGCCTATTAGAATGCCTACATTTATTTTTCTGTTTTGTTCAATCCCTGTATCCATAAACTTGGTCCTTGACCCGATCTCAGTGACTATGATTTAGTGAACTTTTTATGGTTCATTCATCACAACAGGCTACTGTTCATGTGCCATGAATGCGAGAATAATTCAATCTTCTATTTATTATAAAATCCTTGACTAAAAGTTTTAGTTAATCTTGGTTTAAAAAATAACAACTTATATTTAAATTTTTTTAATACGAAAAGTTTGTGTTTCATTTGAGGGTCCATGTAAGGACATTTGTATATTTTGGTTGGATTTTCTATGATTTTGTGCATCTGTTTATCGAAACCATTACAATAAGTAATATAAGAATAGGAATTTCACAATTTATGAGTTATGAAGGTTGTCAATTACATATTTCTTTACTTAATGAGCAGGGTTGTTTTTGGTACATATCTCTGGTGCCATTAGATTTAATGCAATGCTGGAATTTCATTGGATATAAGAATTGCAGCTTCCTTGACACTGTTTTCTATAAGCTCTGCAGGTATCCCACATTTTTTGATGACATTGCAGCACGCTTGCTTCCAGTCATCCCATTAATTGTTTATAGACTTATTGAGAATGATGCCATAGATTCAGCAGATAGAGTTCTGGCCATGTATTCTCCACTTTTGGCTTATCACCCCTTAAGATTCACATTTGTTCGTGATATACTTGCCTACTTCTATGGCCATCTTCCTGGAAAGCTCGTTGTGCGGATACTGAATGTACTTGATCTCAATAAGGTATTTACAGTTCCCCTTCCCTTCCCTGTTATTTTTTTCTTTCTTCTTTGTTTCCTTGTTTCAACCCTTTGGAATGCTATTTTCTTTTTGCCATATGTTTCTTTATTTATTATAAACTTGTCTCAGATCCCATTTTCCGAGTCATTCCCACAGCACATTAGTTCACCGAACCCTGTTATCTGCCCGCCCCCAGAGTATTTTGCAACACTTTTGTTAGGGCTTGTGAATAATGTGATACCCCCATTAAATACCAACTCCAAGTATGGATCAGTCGGAGATGCTTCAAATAATTCAGGGCGCAATCCACATACCAAGACTTCAGCAGCCTCTCAGTCTGGACCAACGAGTGCTTCTGAGGGTCAAAAGGCATTCTATCAAATCCAGGATCCTGGAACTCATACACAACTGGTTCTTGAAACAGCGGTCATAGAATTACTCTCACTTCCAATAACTGCATCACAAATTATCCCCTCTCTAGTTCAGATTGTTGTTAATATACAGCCGACTCTAATTCAATCAAGCAACGGAGTTCCAAATGGTTTGGGACAAGGATCAGTTTTGCCAACGTCGCCTTCTGGGGGAAGTTCTGATTCACTAGGTGGAAGCAGATCAACCCCTTCGGTTTCAGGAATCAATACTTCAAATTTTGTTTTACGAAGCGGTTACACCTGCCAACAACTATCTTGCTTGTTGATCCAAGCTTGTGGTCTCTTACTAGCTCAGCTCCCTCCTGATTTTCATGTTCAACTTTATATGGAGGCATCACGTATTATAAAAGAGAGTTGGTGGCTTACTGATGGCCAAAGGTCCCTTGGGGAGTTAGACTCTGCTGTTGGCTATGCTTTGTTGGATCCAACATGGGCTGCTCAGGACAACACCTCAACAGCCATTGGTATGCAATTTAATTTTTCATCTATGTTTGTTCATAATGTTTTTTTGTTCTCATTGTCAACACGCTCAGTTGCCCAAATTTCATATTTATGCTAACTTCTTGATTAAAATGTTTTCAAATTCTGGCCTCTCCTAAATTCTCTGAACTTGAGCCCGAACTTTCATTTAATCGTGCAAAATCTGAATGGTTTGAAAGGTTTGATGACCTTGACTGACTTTTGCTGATGATTTTAGAGCAAGTCTCCTGTTAATTTCGTAGCCTAAGTCATGTTTTATCAATAGTACACAATGAGGTACATTTACCTACCATGTTGGGGACAATGCATCAATTGCATCTCGAGTATGGTGAAGTATAGTTCTTTTGTTTTGTGCTCTGATTCTGTGTTATAATTGTTGTATTTCCAGGTAACATAATTGCCCTGCTACATTCGTTCTTTAGTAACCTCCCACAGGAATGGCTGGAAGGAACGCATGTTATCATTAAACATCTCAGGCCAATAACATCAGTTGCAATGTTGAGGATAGCATTCCGTATAATGGGTCCATTGCTCCCAAGACTTGCTAATGCCCACACACTCTTCAATAAGGTATAGAAAGCTACTCAGTTTCTATCTTAAATATTCACAAGATGAGATTGTACTAGTGACATGCCCCCAGACAATTCGTTTTATCTGGTTTACTCTGATGAACTTGTCCCGTCATGCTTACACCATGCATTTCTTGAGTTGTTAAATCTACAAAATTTGTAACTTGGTAAATAAGCTGAAAATTGCTGGAGCTTGAAATTTTGTGGTGCCATATCTTTATCACTGAATTCATGATACCTCATGATGTAGGACAACTTAGGATTAATGTCCACAAAAGAATCGTGGGAGCTAGGGTTGGTTTATGTTGAATTAAGGCAAGAAAAACGAATAGTTGGGGAAAATGGAAGAACAAGTGTAGGAAGGAAAAATCTAGGCTCCTAGACTTTAAAATAACTTTTAACTCAATTTCCATTTCTTAATTCAGCTCTAAGGTTAACAACATGGTTCAGTAATTCTTTTCAATCTATTAACATGGTTTCTTTAATAGAATAGGTATATAAACTATTAAAAATAAGGACACCAAATTTCTAAGCAAGGCTAGGGCCTTCTACTAATGAAAATTTCAAATATCTTCATCAGAATATGCAGAACTTGTTATTCTGCCCTGGCTTACAAAAAATATCCGTGATATTGTAGTCTTTGTCAACGAGGGTGATTTTTATGAATCTTGGACTTTATTTTCTATATGGTGTTCGAAGTCTTGAGTGAAACTTCATTGATGGATAGCACCCCATTGTTGCCTTCCTGTGCATATTCTCTTCTCACTAATGAAGAGGAGGGAAAAAAAAGGAAAAAAAAAAAATAGCAGGAACTATGATGGTCGCACGTAAAATTGACCGTGAGAACCTTGCCTTCTGAAATTATTTTCATTTTTATGCTAAGTCAATTAACATCTTTAAATCCTTGTTTCACCTTGAGATTTGAGAACATTGCCTTTTGAATATTTTCTGATTGGTTTTGGGTTCATTATTGCCCTTTTATGTTTGATATTTGTTGACAATCTTTACAGACCCTCTCAATGCTTTTAAATACAATGGTCGATGTTTTTGGGAGGAATTCACAGACATCAACTGCTGTTGAAGCATCAGAAATTGCAGATCTCATTTACTTTCTGTGAGTATCATTTTCTTGGAACTTTCAGTTATATGATTCAAAATTCTGTTTGTTTAAGAAACTTACGTTCACAACACTTTTGTATGTCAGCCATCATATTGTCCATTATGAAGGGCAGGGAGGTCCTGTCCAGCCCAACAGCAAGCCTAAAGCAGAGGTTCTTGCCCTTTGTGGGAGGGCAGCAGAAAGTCTACGTCCAGATTTACAACATCTTCTTTCCCATTTGAAACCTGATTTGAATTCTTCAATATATGCTGCCACTCATCCAAAGCTGGTCCAGAATCCCTCATGACCTTTGGGTTTAAACATTCTTCATAAGCCGATCGTGAGATGGCTATGGCCTCCTTGGTTCTTCATACCTAAGGCTTTAATGCAGTATGTTGCCTTAAAAACAAGAGCTGTTAAAGAGTGAATGAAGAGAATCACAACTACACTGCTTCCAACCCCGATTGTGATGGAGAAGACCTCCCATTTTGGAGGGCACTGCCCTGTCCCTTTTGGTTTAGGAAAGCCTCCACCAGTATCCATAATAATAATAAAAGAAGCACGATCCTTTAAAGGCTACGGAGGAGATGTTGTACATTATTGTAAATTATTGCCAAGTCAGTTGAATCCAAGATATCAGAAGGCCAAGAGATGATGGCAGAATTGTTAACTTAAGAATGACTATCTGAATATTGTGAAGGTATAAAATTTTAAACCCAACTAATCGTTAAACTTGTGAACATAATAAAGCTGTGAAAGTTTAATCTTCGCGGGGGAAAGGAGTGTCAAACTTATATCTGAATTTGGTAAAGTGTGAAATTTCGATCGTATGCCACGAGGTTTAAGGTTGTCTCAAAGTGACTCTATTGTCTGTCAATTAACCCCTGAAGTTCAAATATATTTTCAATTTTTTCCCTTCTAGTATGTTTCTGTGTGATAAAACTATAAGAAACGAAGGCGTACTCTTTTACATGAAAGATTGAAACTATTTAAAATTAAAATAAAATTTTTAGAACAAAAGCACGTGAAAACAATTGTTTTTCAAAATTACAACAATACCGAAGAGGCATGAAGCATCAATCCTCTTCCTCTAAGAGAATGATAAAGAAGCAACTCCTTGAGGTTTCCCAATAGATAGACCAGAGAAGATAACAGAAAATGAAAAGTGGGTGTAGGAGTCGTAATCAGTCCTACTGGCGTTTGGGGGTTGGCGGCGGGAAGGACCGTTAACTGATGCGACAAATCCAGATGGATTGGGCAGCAGCACCGGGGGGAAAAAAGAAGAAGAAATTTCTTCTGTTATTAGTAGGGATTTTGACAAAAAAATTAGCGTGTTGTTTTCATCCAGGTTGGCGTGGGCCAATCAAACAAAAAAATTCGTTGGAAACGTGATTGATGTTACCAACAGCCAACCATGACTTTAGATCGATTGTTTGTCCAAATTTATGAGTAAGAAAAGGGTCTATGTTTAGCATGTTTGTCCCGCGTAGGGACGGCAATGGGGGCGGGGCGGCTCCACCTTTGAAAATTTTATCCCATTCTTGCCCCTTGTTCCAAACAGGGTAAAATTTATCATGTCATTTTCGTCCTAAACGGAGACCAAGATCCCTGCAGAAAACTAGTAAGGTAAAAGAGAGGCAAATGAAACAAAAAAATTATCTTTCTTTTTTTTTCGTCTCGTCTTATCTCTTTCTATTATCAAATTTCAAACTATAAAAAAAAAAAAAATCATATAAAAAATAAATCCTAAAAGTTACTAGTCACAGATTTTCTATAGGATATAATTATAATTTTAAGGATGAAAATCATGAAATGAGGCAAACGGGGCAAACGACAAGTAAATACCATCCCCGTTTACAAGGCGCTCCACCCTGCCCTATTCCCCAATCAATGCGAGAATCCTATGTTCCCCAATCAATACAGAGAATCCTACGTTGATCGGGACAGAGCGGGACAAATTGCGATCCCTAATCCTGTTATAACTCATATCCTGCTTTAAATAGTTCAGATGGACATCGCATTCTACACTGATGCTATATTTTGAACTCATCATGGGAAAGCATCAACTGAAAAGTTAGAATGTTACTTCTTTTTTTCAACTAACTCAATATGAATACTAGTTGAAATACGATCACTAAACACCCAAAAAAAAAAAAAGTCTCTGGTGTTCTTGTGATATGAACAACTGAAATTAGACTCTGACTCGTCCAACTATGAATCTTAATGACTGCTCAGCCATTGTTTTTATTCTCACAGATCCAACATTTTGTAGCAAAAGCAATGGAGGATACACAAAATCCAAACTCCAAAGCTCTGAACAAGAAGCCTTTTTGGAATACTAAGATTGGTCTGTGGTCCAAAGTTACAAGAAGAGCAAGAGCCCACAAGCCTCAACTTTCTTTATGCACCCATAAAAAATGAATTAGAGAGCAAATTTTGAAATCTTTATTTTTTTTATATGGATGAAGCAAACTTGACCACGAGATAATTTAGCTGACGACGGGACGATGTATCTCTCCAGGTCAAACTCATTATCCTCCCATTTCTCTATGAATTTTTTTCATTATTATTATTAATTATGTTAATTTCTTTCATAATCTTAATTATCAAAATCATTATTGCTAACTTTTTACTTCTTCGGGAGAGCAAGAGAGGAGTGGAGACCCACTTCAACCGATAAAAATTGAACATGTATTCATTTAACGGCAAGATGGATGTCTTCGTTACTAATAAAGATGATCTAGATGGAAAGATTGATGGTGTTAACGAAGCAATAGCCTAATTTTTTCAAAAAAATTAGGTACGTTGATTGAGACTTAATAAATCTTAGAAGTATCCAGGAGCTCATTAACCCAAATTAAAATCGAAGTGGGAAGATGAGATATCATACGCCAATAACTATTGAAAAGAAAATTAAGATGCAAGTACAAAATTAACCAGAGCCATTCAAGTTTCAGAAAGGACAGGCACTCATCCCTTGTTTGAGCACTCGAATTTTGTGCACGCATTTCAACTGAAACCAAATGATCCAGATCTTTCAGCTTTCATGTCTGCCACTTTTGTTTTTCTTTTACGTACACTAATGTCTGCCACATTGCAATAACTATTCGTTCTAGTCATACCTTCTTCTTCTTCATCTTTTTTTTTACCCTTAAAATCGGCCTAATGATAATGGTATCCGTTCTATGAAATGTCATGTTTGTGACTTGGTCTCGGTAATGGAAAGCTGTTAGAGGATACTCTTTATCGTTATGACCTGAAAAAAAAAACTATTATTAAAATGATATTTAATTTATTGTAATTAGTATTTTGTATTATTAATCATTATTATAAATGCCTTATATTCATAATAATAAGATATGAGATATTAATAATTTTTATTTAACCATCCAAGATTGTAGATAGAGTAGTGAAAAGAGTATTTTCGACTCATTGAATCGGGATTCGTTTTTTGCATTTGAAAAATTCTTCTCTTTTTTGTATGATGATAGACATAAACTGTTGATGAGTACAAAGATTTCGATCTTTTAAAATCCATCAAAAGCTAAACATGATAATGTTGATCTAGTTTGTAAAGTTATAAATTTAATCTCGATTGATACTTTTCTTTCTTATTTATGTGGCTCTAGATATAGATTGTTGATGAATTAAAAGAGTTCGGTTTAATCTCGATTGATATTTTTTTTCTTATTTATGTGGCACTAGATATGAATTATTGGTGGACTAAAAGAGTTCAGTTTATATAATCAACCTAAAACTAGGCATAATCTAGTATTAATCTAATTCATAAAATAATAAATTTATTTTTAATTAATGCAAAAATTGATTTGAGAATATCCTACTACCTTTAAAAAAGATTTTTTTTAATACATAAAAAATAGAATTACGCAAAATCCATCCAAATCTATTTAACTTCTAACTAAGACATGACCACTGATGGTATTAATCAACAATAACTTAATAAGTCCTCTATCTTTGAATTATAATAGGTGAGATTAGTGTTTTTTTTTCTTACATGAATTCAATAAAAAATAATTCATTTTCTATGTTCAAATTACAAAATAAATGATAGTGAGTTTGTTGTAGGTCGTGGCTCTCATGGGTACAAATCCTTCCTTTAATATATATATATATATTTCTGTAACAAGAAGAATTTAGAATAACTCTTTATGTTTTAGTAATAGTTAATTTAGTTCCTTACTCAAACTACTAATTATTAACATTAATTTCTTAAGTATCTTACCACTTAATGTAAAATGTAGAATCTCGTCTTTAAAAAAAAGTACAAAATAAATGTATTTTACTTACTTTTATGTGATAGAAAAAAAGAGAGAGTTTAATCTCTTGTTTGGTAGCAATAATGACGAAACCAAGTTCCTGTCGTGATCACATGATTGAAGAACTTCTATCCGACGCAAAGCATGAGAGGAAATGTCATTCTATCACAGTAAACCTTGTCTGACGTAGCCATCCATGACTTTTAACTCTGTGCTGCTGTTAACCATGTGGCTATGGTTGTTGTAGTTGTAGCTATATGCGTCAAAAGTGTGTGGTAACCCTTAAAACCGGGTTTCTCAATTCTTTTATGTCAATGACCTAAAAAAACAAATCATGATGTAGTTTCTGATTTTTGACTTTTAAATTATTTTTAAAGGTGAGATGTACTAGGAACCCATTTATTGTCGGTAAAAATATAAAGATATCTAAACCACTAAAAATTTTGATAAATAGCCATGAATTTTTTCATCTTAATTTATTAAAAATCCATTGCTATATACAATTAATGATAAAATAAAGATAATATAGATTTCATCATTAATATGATGATCTTTATTTTCTTAGCAATGAAAATTTTTTTTGTTACTAATTTGTTGAATTTTCGTCGTTAAATCGATTTATAACAATCATTTGTTAGGTCTTATATCCGTTGTCATTCGGTTGCTATTTCACATCTATCGCTAGATAATGAGAAATAGCAATTGAACTAGTGTCGCTAAATTATATTCACCGAGATCCTTGTAATTCCGTCGCTAAATTCGTCTCTATTTAGCGATTGTATATGTCTCTATTTAGCGATTGTATATGTCTCCGTCGTTAAATATTCTTGTAATTTCGTCGCTAAAAGAAGTTTTTTTAAAAAAATAAAATAAAATCAATTGTCATATATTGTTAATTATAATAGCAAACAACACTTTATTGAAACATGATATATTATTTCATAAAATTAAAATTGTATAAATTAAAATAAAATAAATATATAAAGACGTTAATATGTATAAAAACTTTTAAAACTTTTTTTTTAAATAA